GGTGTTGGAGGAGATGGACATCACTTCTCCCTTAAGTCAAAAGATTATTAAAATATTTCCCGATTTTAAGTTCCCTAAGAGTAGCCATAAGAGCCGCCGATTGGACTAATATATGAGATGACATTCATGTGTAAAATGTATTGTTTTTTGTGTTTATTTATTCAGGAATTTTCAATTGACACATTTAAACAGTCATTTACAGTGTATTTAATTGTTATCATGTTTTAAATGTAATGTTTGCGCAAAAATAAGTCTATTCTCTATTTAAGTCATTTATTCATTGATTGTTTGTAACCTTAATATACATTTTTATATAAAGAGCAATGTTGTTTTCTGTATACATTAAATAATCATTCATTTAATTATTTTGCATTCATTTAAAATATTACAATCAATAAAAATGTTTATTAAATTATATGCAAACTATTATTTATTTGTGGAGAATAATGATTATGTATATATTTGTTCATAGTACTAACAGTATAATTATAATGAAACATATAATACAGTACATTAATGTGTATCAACTTTATAATATACAGTAACAATTGTTTTGTCAGCATAAATTAATTTTTATTGTATTACTAATTATGACTTTTTTATTTGAAATATACTGTATTATAACTGCAATATACTGTACATGTAATTGCATTTTTATTATGCAGTTTTTATATTTAACATAAAATATAATATATCAAAGTATACAGTACGAGTCCTATAAGTCTCTCAAAACACTAGTTTTTTACACGTTGAAAATTAACCCTCAAACACAACACTCATATTTTTGCATATTATGTCTTAAACTGAATGGAAATAAAAATCTCATAGACCACAGGTAGTGTTGTCCAAAGTTAACTGGCTAAAAATTTTTAAACGGTTAACCGGGTTAAAGTCAATGATTTTTTTTGACCGATCGGTTAAAAGTCAAAGCATTTTTTGACCGACGGTTAACCGGTGAACCGATTAACCGCTACGTAATTGATGTAGCAAAACTGTAATACCTAATAATTTTAATAAAAAGTAGTCATAATTCATTAATAGAATTACGCCCTTTTTGCAAAATAACCCCAAAAGTCAATAAACCACATTATTCATACTGAATTGTGGTTAAAAATACCTAAAATTTTTGCAAAATACCCTAAAAATAAGGGTATTTTACAAATATATTAGGGCATAATGACGTCAGCCGGTGAAACACGGTTAACCGGTTAAAGTTAAAGTCAAAGATTTTTTTGACCGATCGGTTAACGGTCAAACCATTCTTTGACCGGTTAACCGTTTGGACAACACTAACCACAGGCCCGGGTTATCAAAAAGCTATATCAAAATAATGCTAATCCTATGATGCTAATCTTAAACTGTAACCATAGGCTAAAGTTACATGAACGAGAATTTTTATACTGAATTACAGTTAAAAATATTCATATTTCGGATACATATACTTCCATATCAAAAATATATTTCATAAATACCGTCTCATAATAATCATTAATTATTAAAAAATTTTATTTATGTAAAATTATAACAATTATAATTTAATTGTTTTCATATGTTAAAACTTATCATGTGCGTTAATTTTATATGCTACATGACCAAGTTGGCCTGAGAATTTGGTCAGAAATCAGCAATATTAGTTAGATTTCTGTTGACTTGAAATGACTGTCACAAGGGCGCTGCAAACGTTACGAGGGTATATTATATATTTTTGAATTGCTCATAACGAAAGTTATCATTATTTTGATATAGCTTTTTGATAACCCGGGGCCTGTGGTCTATTAGATTTTTATTCCCATTCAGTTTAAAACATAATATGCAAAAATATGAGTGTTGTGTTTGAGGGTTAATTTTCAACGTGTAAAAAACTAGTGTTTTGAGAGACTTATAGGACTCGTAGTATACAGTATTACACAATATATCAAAATATGCGATTAATATATAAATTATAATTAAAATAAAGATAGTTCATATAAATTGTTTTGTTTATTACTTGTACTGCATTATGTATTTAATAATATATTATATAAAATTCGAAGGTAAAAATATATCGATCATGTAGCATTTATTAATTCTGTTAAAAATATTTATTTATCGATTTTAATTATTTAAACTAAAAATAAACTAATAGAAACATAAGACAAATAGAAAATATTCTACCATAATATTTAACATAAGGATATAGTCACAGGATTTATGTTATGAATCATAACTTATGATGAACACAATAAAAATCAATAGTTCTAGTTAATTACAAATCCAATAATATCTAAATTAATTTATATTAGTTAAATAAAATTTAATATTTATTCAAGTATAGAAATATTCTATTGTCATAAGCCTCCTTGCCTAATTAATTGACAAAAATGTTACATTTATATTCATATCATAATTTGTTAGTAAATTCGTATTTTAATAGCGTTTCCATCATGGCTAAATCAAATTACAAGTCACTAGGAATTCATTATTTAATATTAGCATGCTATATTCTAAACCTAACTAAAATTATATATTGCCTAAATGGCAATCAGAATATATGCTATTTATTGGTTGATGTAACCATGTTTACCGGCGGTATATATGTGTTTAACGCATATTTAATGTTTAATACCTTTATTTTGGGAGTATTTTTGCATAAAATAATACATTTGAATGCATCGGAAAAGTCGATGAAATGGCTCAACATATTTGATTTTATGAGGCCTAATGTTGTAACAAATATAGTCATCACTGAAAATAAAAATATCAAATCGTTTATTAAATTTTATTACATAATATTTCTCAGTTTCTACACATTAATCGGTAAAGTATAACATTTTTATACAATTTATTAATATTTACATTTAATTTATAAACATGGATAATTATCAAGAATTATATGTTAATATTTGTCATTTCCCAACAGTTTTGACTTTTAGTATCTTTATTACTAGTATAGAGATTACTTATTATATGAATAACTGGTACATATTTATCATTACATTTTTACCATTATGTATTTACATAATGTCCACGTATACATTGATAATTGACTGTTTTTTCCTCTCGTCATCTCTGGCTATATTGATGTCTGTATTATTCAAAACCATAAACAGAATTAACCATAATTTTGGACAACTATTTTGCTCTACAAACACAAGGATTCGTAATGATATCCAAACCTATCGTACTGTTCATCAGTTTATGACTGACCACAATATTTTATGTCAAACTATAAACAACTATAACTTATTTTGGGGGTTAGTATTATTCTGGGAAATATTATGCGTCACCCCGATCAGTTTGATATGTTTGCATCAATTCATATTCTCAGACATTATATATGAATTAAAAATATTATTTCTCTTCTCAAACATTATATGTTTTGTGTTTTTGATTGGTTTTAACACTTGTTTCGCTTATTTCTCGTACAAAATGCATATATCGGCCAAACGTTTACCGAGAATCCAGTGGCGGACAAACGGATGGCCATTTCGGGTGACATTCAAACTAAAACTCGTCACTTATTTTGAGCGCTTGTATTGCAATCGAAAGCTGGGCTTTACTATCGGTCCGACAGATACTCTCACTTTTCTATTACTCTCAAGGGTTTGATTTGCGTTTATAATAATAATTTGCAAACGTTTCATATCAATTATTTTTCTATCTAGATGGCCATTAAATATATGCGATATTTTATATTAATTCATAAATTGGGCACAACTATTGATATCTAATTCGTATATGTATTTACTGATTCTATGACATTTTTTCGAAAGACATTTTTTCGAAAGACGTTTTTTCGAAAGACATTTTTTCGAAACCAATTTTTCGAAAGACATTTTTTCGAAAAAATTAATTAAAATTAAAGAATTAACAAGTTTAACCTAACCTAACTTACCATAAACTAACCTAAACTAACTTATAATAAATTAACTAATGATATTATTAGTAATTTAACTTAATCTAATGTGTTTAAAGTAAATTTAAATTAATTTTTTCGAAAAAATGTCTTTCGAAAAAATGTCTTTCGAAAATATGATTTCGAAAAAATGTCTTTCGAAAAAATGTCTTTCGAAAAAGTGTCTACATACCGTATTTACTATACGTTATGGTCACAGTCTACAGTATACAGTAGACTCTATGTCATTTCTCGATTTCATCATTATAATTATAATTAATTTGTTTTGTAATTACTTATTAAACAAATCTTAATAATAAATCAAACTAATTTTTGTTAAAAACATTTAAAATTCTCAAAATACCAATTAGTGAATATTAATTATATGTATATTAATAAAATTTTTGAAAAATCTAAAATCTTTTATGAATTTCCCGAATTGTAGTTAACGCATAACCATTGAGTGTAATTTAAATTGTTTAAATTTTTATTTAAGAAGTAATTATCTCATTTTTAAATGTACTAAATATTTGGGATAAATGTATTTGGTTATAATTATATTTTTAGATGAATTCTAGTACATTGAGAATCATGACCTTTTTAATCTAAATTATTTTGTATTGATTAAATATTTTAATATAAAATATCAATTATAGATTTATACATTCATCGTAAATAATGATAAGTTATCATAAAAATGTTATATTTAAATGACAATGTATTTGTGTAATAATCATAATAATTATTATGTGTTGTGAATCACAACTTGTGATATTCAAATGAGTATTGATTAAAATTTTATATAAAAAACATTTATGGCAAACAAATTACAATGTATGCTAAGTAATTGATTTTATTAAAATAGATCATAATTAATAATTTGCGGCAAGTGATTATCACGTGATAAAATTATACACTATGTATTTGTCCTGATAGATTGTTAATTGAAATAATTTATAGAAAACAATATTAAGCAAGTTGGCACAAACCGAAATATTTCAAACATAATAAGACAATCTAGCTGATAAAGTTACTGCACTATGTGTCGCAAACATGACTATATGCCGAGTGAATTAAATTTAAAATATTATTTTATTTTAACAATACTAATGGTTGGCTTATGTTTGGGTAGTTTGTGGCAAATCTATACCATTTGTAATCTATATTTCAGTTATCCAACACTTATACACATTGACAATGATTTCCATGACTCACACAATAACTATTTTCCGGCCATTACTTTGTGCACCGATATTAAGGACAGTTGCGTCGGACAGACATCCGATCGCATGTTTCAACGTTTTCGGGCTAAGGATGTGCTCAAAGATATTTACATTGTATTTGATGGCAATAATAACAACGTTACTAATTTAACCGAGATTATTTTGGACAATTTGCTCCAATCTATTAGTTTGCGTTACTATTGTTTTACAATAAATAAATTAATAAAAAGTAAGCGAATTCATTAACAAAAAATTATTCAATTAAATTATATAATCTTTGTAATTTAATCATAATTATTTTTAAATAAAAGTTACAAAGTTTCAAATAATATAGATAAATTAATGTAACATTTTTTGAATTAATGCTCTTTAAAGGCAACGAATCAATAAATCTGGCACCGGATCAAGCGCTTATATTTAAGCTAGTTACATTTCAACCAAATGGATCATGGTGGATTTACATACATCATTCGTACGACACAGCCTCGGGCTACGGGTGGGACGCCATCGAAGTGTTGCCCCGAAAACAGTACAAAATCTCATACATTCTCAACAGTTACCACTTATTGGCCAAACCATACGCCACTCAATGCATACACTATTCATCGCAAACCCAATACATGTCCCGCAAAGACTGTGTCCGTCGTTGTCGGCGGACAGTCAGCGAACAGAGCTGTGGATCGGCTATTGTTGGACACGAAGTGGACGTCCATAGAGGGGAACCGACCGCCCGGTTCACCAACACATGTGTTCGTCAACTGGACTTTAAGCCCATTTGTGAGCGCATGTGTCCGCACATGGATTGCCATAAACATTATTTTACTCCTAAAGTGTTGGGCAGTAAACGTATCGGTGCTGACCATACGGTGGTTGAACTGACCGTACCGTCAGAGCCGGAGACCATGTATTGGCACAAACCTCGGCTTCAATTCATTGAATTCATATGTTATGTCACTTCAAGCATAAGCCTATGGTTTGGGTTTTCTATCCTATCGCTATGTATTTGGTTTAAACAACTGTTTAAGTTATTGCCTAAAGTTAGCACTTGTTTTAGTAATAATTATAGACTTAATGTTAGAGTAAATAGAGATTAAATAAGATTATTACGACAATTATTATATTTATAAAAAACTTATTAAATAAAGTAATAAGGAATACAATACTTATATTTTTTCCACTAATTCTAAAAAAATGCTATTTAAAAGTTTATACAAATAATTACACCACAATTAATAAAACAAGAATTATATATTTTTAAAAATATTTATTAAGAATATTGTTTAATAATAATTGACAAAATGTGTTAATACATAATTAATCATGATTGAAAAGTTTTAAACCATTGCAATCGCGGACTTTAATGCTCTCGAGTTTAGTACATCTGGACATGAGTTCATTGAATTCATAATCATTTATGTGAAGCCATTCATTAGTTTTACACCAATCGTTATTAATGATAGACAGTGTTTGGAGGGCCGACAGTCTTGAGATATCGTCCAAATATTTGCCTTCAAACCAGCCGTCGGTGCAGTCGACCACCAAATGTCGAAGTCGTGGTAAATAGTGGTCAATACCCGCCAAATGATTGCTATTTAATTGACATAAATATAGCTCTAAATGTGTTAATCGGCGGCAGTTTCTCAACGTTGACAACAAGTCTTGACGACCACTCGATTGATGGAAAGTGAGGCTAAAATACTTGAGTCCCCGGAAGTGTTGCATTGCATCCAATGTCGGTATACTCAGTTCATTACTGTTTAATTGAAAGTTCAGCGAAAACTTTGACAATTGTTTACAATTTTGGCCGATTTTTGCCAAACAATCGGTAAATGTTTGCTCAAATGGAAAGTCTAGCGATAGTTCCCATAATTCTGGCAATTGATCCACAAATTCAATGACAATCTTTAGCGCCTCTTCTGTCTTAAACTTTAGTCGAAGACTTTTTAGTTTGGGATTATTTGCCACTAATATAGCCATCATTTGTCTCGTGAAATCCATATTCACATTGCATTCAATTTGTTGCAAATTTGTGACCAATATTTCGGTTTCACCGCAAAAGATATTTGAGAGACAACTGATACTCAAATGAGACAATCGGTGGCATTGTTTGAGCCAATTTTTATCCTTAGAGCAGATATTTTTGATTCTGGTAAACATCTTGGTTAACATTTCACAATAGTTATCGTTATGGTATCGCATTGTATAGTAAATGTCACTTAAATAATGACAATAACCTCGAAGTGCTTCAACCAATCGCTTCAAATATCTGCCATCAAATGCCATGTTTTGGCAGTCAATGGTTTGTGGATTTGGACACTTTTTTGCGATTGTTATTAAAGTTAAATAATCAAAATATTTGGGACCGAAGAGTGCTTTGATTGGCCAATCGTTAGTATCAATGACCAAAACACTGGTGAAGACTGTCCTCTGGAACTGTTTGGACAGACCTTCACATCGGAAGCGGTCATCAAATGAGAGGTAAGACACGAGAAGTTCACACAAATCATCGCCGAAGCGATCGAAAGAGTCTTT